TATTAATTCACCTTGCATATTGTATGAATGCATTTATATACAGATTTATTATGTCTAATCCATTTTATTTGCTTGCTTACATATTCTATGAGATTCAGACCTCGTTTATATTGACTGGGAAAGGAACTTAGATATTTTATTCACAACGTAAGGGTACAAAATGTATTTACTACTCCTATACCTAATCCTTTTATTTTGAGATACCGAATTTGACATTAATGCTTTTAATAAATTAGATAAGGCAAATGATACGATTTGGTGCAATATTCTAGAGTTTAGCTCGAATATGTTCCAAAGCTAACATTTGCATTATTTCATTTTCTTCAAGCATCATGTTAAATGTCAATGAGATGTTTTGGTAAGATTAGATAGAGCATATGCCTAAGTACTGTGTCAAATTTAAATACCATCAAGATAGCCTGAGGAACTCCAGTTTGATATCGGATTTTGAAAAATGATTGTTTATTATTTAAAAATTAGCTGGAAATCAATAGGGCTGACTTGGGTAGTAAGTTTCAAGTTAACATGATTATTACCTTGTTACCAAACTAGTTCGACTCTGTTAGAGTGAACTAAATAAGAAATCAGTTTGAGTTCACACTCGCTGATATTCTTATAGAATTGGTAACAGATGAAGGGATAATCAAGAGTATGGACGTTCCTGTCAATCTAACCTAGTCTATACCATCTTCTTCTAGGCCCAAGTGGAAGGGCAAAGCAAAGAAGAAGGATAATAATAGAACTAGGCTAGTACAAAACATGGGTATCTAAAAGGTTAAAGGGAATAAGGCAGTGTATGTTGAGGACGAAGGAAATAGTTTCTTTTGCCGCTAACTATGACACTCAAGGACGAACTGTCTAAGTAATGACGTGGCATAGGAAAATATATATTTAATCATTGAGCCATGTTATGTGGTTGTAACTATTAATTCCTGATGGATAGATTCTGGAGCCACTAAACATGTTTGCAATTCGTTGCAAGGATTTCAGGAATCCAGAAGCCTTGATGATATGGAATATATTTGTACTTGACCTGATGCCAAGGTTGTAGCTAAGTCAGTGGGAGTATTACATCTGAAATTAAAGAGTATGAGGATATTAGTATTAGAGAACTATCTTTATGCACAGAAGGTAGACGATATCTAATTCTTGTTTCACTTGTGGTTTATAAAAACTGGATTATTATTTTGTAAAATTGGTTTTAAAATTGAATAGATATGCGATTGATTCTGGTGCATTGAAAGATGGTTAATATACTATAATCACAAGCTCTTAAGATTTGCAGGATGTGGAAACTAATGTTGCATCTACTAGATTGAATGTTAAGAGAAAATTGTTATTACTGACTTATTGTATTTTTAGTGTCTATTATTGGGTTGTAATCAATCAAAATGAGATTCAAAGATTGGTCAAAGAAGCTTTATTACCTAGTGAGGCAGAGAAGCCTAAACCAACTTGTGAATCTTGTATTGAAGGATAGAAAACCCTAAGGGCTTAATCAACCAAATGAAATAGACATAAAGAACAATTGGAGTCGGTATAGACAGACACGTGTGGTCTTATGAACATCCAAACAAGATTACTCAAGTTTTGGATAAATTTATCTGATGCGACAAGAGTCTTAAACTTTTGGTATATTCTGAAAGTGTCAAGACTGACGTGGAACACAGATTAGGTAAACTTATCAAAACACTTCGATCTGATCGTGGATATGAGTATTTTCTTGGGATAGTGCAAAGACTATATAGTCAATGAGGGTATTGTGTACCAGTTTTTCGCAATTGACGCTCAATGGATTGAGGTGTCAAATAGGAATAACAGAATTTCTGCTTAACATGGTTAGATCTATGAACAGTTATGCTACATTATCTCTTTCATTTAAGAGTTTAGCGTTAATGATATCGATGCGCATTATGAACTGCATTCTATCTTAGTCTGTCTCAAGGATACCGTTTGAGTTGTGTTTTTGACTAAATATTAGTTTGAATCACATGCACGTATGGGGTAGTCTTGCACATGTGCGCTTGATATGGATAAGTAAGTTGGAAGCAGATCATAGGCATGCTAGATTTGATGGCTACTCTAAAGTCACTAGGATGGATTATTTTATGATCTCAATGATAAAAGTTGATTGTTTACACTCACTGTTTATCTATAGGAGGATCATATTATGAATTACATACCTAGTAGCATAATGTTAAAGAATATGGTATGAGTACCAGATGTACCACATATGAACACACTTATTATAGAGATTGAGAATAATATATGAATTCCCTATTGATGCGTCAACATCATCTAGTATACAGATTCCTGCATTAGTACATTGATGTAGTGGGAGGATTATCATCCAATCCGACAGAATCATGTTTTTAGGTGAGACCATTATGGACATCCCTGTTAAACATGAGTTGGACCCAGTAAGCTACACGGAAGCGTGAACCGATATGGATACAGATCGTTTTGGCGAGTTACTATGAAATCAGAGTTGGAATTTATGTATTCTAATAAATTCTGGGATCCTGAAAAACTTTCTAGTAGGGTGATACCTATGGAAGGCAAGATAATCTACAAAAAGATAGCAAAAGATTTCTTAGTGAAAAAATCATGAGTGTACAGGGGAATGTCATTATTTTTCTGATTCTATATATATTGATGACATCCTACTCATTTAGAATAATGTGGAAGTTTTGTTATCAATAAAGAGGTAGTTGTTCAATTACTTTTAAATGGACGATCTTCAAGATGTAAGCTATATTTATAAGATTAAGCTTTTGCAAGATCAGGTTAAAAGGAAAATAGGCTTATCTTAATAATCCTACATTGATAAAGTTTTGAATAGGTTTGGTATGCATAACTCAAAGAATGAGTTCTTGCTTGATTGACATGGATTACTCTCTCTAGTAAGTAGTTTTCCAAGACTGTCAAAGGAGATTGAACAAATGAGACTGGAACAATATGTTTCGGCATATAGGAGTCTCATATATGCCATGGTCTATACCAAATAGGACATCTGCTCATAGTAGGGATAGTCAGTAGATATTAGTCCAATCCTGGACTTAATAACTGGTTTGTTGTGAAAAATATCATTAAGTAACTAAGGAGAACCAATGATATCATACTTATTTATGGATGTGATGATATGGTCCTAGTCAGGTATGCTAGTTCTGATTGTCAATCAGAAGTAGATACTATGGGGTTCATGACTTAGTGTATGTTCACTCAATGAGGTTGTGGAGCATACTAGCCTGCCTATCGAGCTATATTGCTACAATAGTGCAGAAATAGTCCAAACCAATGACCCAAGGTTCCATTGAGGAACAAGATACACTGAAAGGAAGTATCATGTTCTACATGATATTGTCCAGCAAGAAAATGTACTCGTGGCTGGAACATTGCATTTGAACACAACTTTGTTGATCCATTAACAAAGGTGGCATTGATCAATAATTTTGATCGTCATCTCGATAACATTGGAGTTAGATGCAATTTGAATTGGCTATGAGGGCAAGTGGGAGCTGTTGGGATTTATATGCACTGACATAGCAAATTTCTATCTGGATTATAGTGACATATGTTCCTAACGTTTCTAAAATATTTATGTTTTATACAATTGGTGAATTCAATGTATTATATTTCGATTCATTATAGAATTGATAGTGTCTATTTGATTACAAAAGATATTTATATATGTATGTGATGGCGATCAATACATGAATATAAATAGTAATCATAAATGGTTCATAGTCGGTAATTATGAATGGACTTATAATTAATTAAGACTTGAACTAGATCCGCGTTAGGTTGAGATATATTGCGAGAGTCATCGTATGCAATTGCTCCCTATCAACGTCATGACATTTGACTCTTAAGCATGAGAAAATTATAAACTCTTTTGTTAGTTAATAATTACTTTGATTTGTTCGGCGAATTCTTCGGAATCCTTAGACCGACACTTTGGGTAGTTATGTAATTAATAGTTAGAGAGTTATATTTTCAATATTTGCATCATTGCTACTTGTATTTATTTTGTATTGATTATGGTTGATCACAAAGTAAATTCGAAAGCCTTCGTGTGTTTTTAGACAAAATAATTTATTATATATTTATTTATTAAATTATTATTTTTGTCAAACAAATGTTTTATTGTGATCGAGTCAGAAATAATCAATGGTACCAAAATAAATATATTAATTAAATAATCGGATTGATGATTTTATTTATCCGATAACTAATTATGCATAAAGGGATCAAAGTGCAATATTGACTTAAAGGTTATTTATTATTTAATTGGAATTCAAATAATTTCTTTTAGTGGAGTAGAAATTAATTTATGAATTAATTGAATTGGGTCCATGGACCGGGCCAATTATTAATTCATTGTAGCCAATAAAATAATAGGCCCAATGGATTCTCACTCATATCCCAACTTGATATTGGAATCATATTAGATTTGAAACATATGAATTAGAGAATAAGAAGAATTTGTTATTTCCTTTTCTTTATTTTTATGTTGCCTATAAATATACATAGTCTATGTATATTTTATAAGTGATTTTTGAAAAAAGGAACCTATTTTCTCTCTCTCGAAAATTAAGATTTATATTCTCATCTAATGGAGGCTCCCACAAGCCTAGTTTTCTAAGGTCATTCATGGAGGCATATGAGTGATTCCTAAAGGCAAAACAATTACCAAGAAAATGGAGATCTAAAGAGAAGGCATCTTGCTAAGGGATCTACAATAAGTGAGAACATTCACTTTAGAGGAAAGTTTTAAAGATTTACTCAAACCTTTGATGTAAATATTCAATCTGTTAATTGGATGATACATCATATTTTATTTTTGCATAAAACTTGTCTCTATGTGATGAATCAAGATTTATGAATCAAAATCCCTCGAAAAGTTTTTAAAATTAGTACGTTTCCCAACAATTTGCTCCTATATCCATGATTAAGATGACCATATAATTTTCTAGACCCGTTTCAAACAAACGAAAACAAGCTGCAAATAACCTATATATTGATTGCATAAGGTCCGATAACTTGCATTCAACTAGGATGTCTGTATATAAGAGTCATAGTAATTACAAAAGGTGAAATAAGTTAAAGCCATGCTAGCACTAAAAATTCACCATCACTTACTTTTCACAATCTTATCTGCTACATACCAGATACTGCCCTTCTACTGCTGCTTCTTCCCGCGTCCGGTCACGGGAACAATCAGATCATCAAAAGTATTTCTACCCACAGACCCATTGATGAATATTGGTATCACATCTTCTGGTTTTTTATTTTCACTTGAATCCCTGCGGGGTGCATTTTCAGAGGCCAAGTCCTTATCCTCCTTGACTATCTTTGGTGGCTCAAGTGATTTCCTGCAACCACCGGATTCTTTCTCTGCTGTGTTTTTCTTATTAGCTGGCGGTGCCATTTCATCACGAATTGCCGGCATAACAATTTTATCAAATGCAATTCGACCTGCACATAAAAAGCTTACGTTTAAAACACAAGCAGAAAAACATGCCCTGAACCCAAGACTTGATGCATTAAAATGAGTTGAAAATTATATGACAGCATATTCTGGCATGCACTACAATCGATGGAACGCTAATGAATATGCAGCTTCAAAAAATTTAAGATTTGCAGAAAAGAGAAGGAGCAACATTTCGTTATATGGACTGTTTTCTACCTATTCCTGCAAATGAAGGGATGAAATGATGTACTTAAAATAAGATATATACATAACAACTAGTTGTTTAACATATACAGTCATAATATAATTACTAGAATACTTTTATTCCTGCTCCGAATATTGGAATACGATAATAGGAAAAAATAGATCTAACAATTCAATTGCATTTTAAATACACAAAGCCCTACCCTGAATCTAAACTATTTGCATGTAAATAATCCACATCGGTCTAATTAATTCGAACATCAATGTTTTCTAGATTCTATGATGTGTCTTGGTTCAGCTCCGCCAAATGAAAAAAGAAAAAAAAAAACACTCCACTAACTTTCTGATTCCATCAACATTTTAACATCTTGATGTCTAAAAAGAAATTATGAGGCTGTTCAATAAAAATTTAGTATGCTCAAAATCTCAATAAATTTTAAACACAATTGGGAAATCAGAACTGTACTAATTTTTTTAGAACAGTGAGGTTTTCTTCCAAATCATTCCCGCTTTTCCTCTCATTTCCATCAAAACAACCCTCCAAATCCTTCTACTTGTCTCCACAACATGCCATAAGAGGTTTCCCTCCAAATCACTCCCTTTCTTCCATCCCATATCCATCAAAACAATCGTGTCCGATTGTAAATAGTCTTTTAGAAGATATGCACAGTCTTTGCATTTCCAGCTCGGTTTTTACCTCTATTTTATTTTTATTTTTTAAATTAACTTTCCCATTTTTACCTAAGTCACACAATCCTTCTCAATGGATGTTACTCCGACGCTCCGAACGCGCTTGGGCTCAAATTATCACTATTTATGACTTAATTATGCCACTATCACGCTCTCGCTCTCGCTTTAACTTTATGTGACTTAGATTTTCAAGTTAATATCTTTTATATATAAATGTTACCTAACCAACCATAATGACAATGGGATGTGATTTCAATACAATAAATAGCATATAAATTTCTACCTAGATATTTTTTAATTGAAATTAGTATATTACACATCAATACAAAGTCTAAAAGAATAAATAAATGAATGAAATGAAATGCAATATTATGAAAATCAAGTAGTTAAGATAAGCAAGAATATGGTAAAGTGTCCATCTTTGACAACACCATCCTAGATTATTAACGGCTAAACGGCGGGCGTAATTTGTATTAATAATAAGATAAGAGTTGATAGATTCCGACATAATAGATATAAGATGAACATTAATGTGTGTGTGTGAGAGAGAGAAGGGTAAACAGACAAGCAGAATAACCAGGGACGCATTTGAGATACTCCTCGAAGCCATAGAGGGCCGCATTCTGGACTATTTTGGTGCCGATCCGGACGAACTTGGCTTGTGCTTCACCGTCGGGATAGTACTTGATCACAGTATCGACGTTGCATCTGACGGCGTTGACGGCAGTACAGCCGTAACCGTAAGAGCTCCGGCATGCGTCCTTCACCGGCGTCAGATCTGGTGCGTTTCGTTTCAGATAATCGGTCGACGAGTACATGAAATCGGAAACCCCCATCCTTCTCGATCTGTCTATCACAGCGTTGTCTCTGACGGTGTTAACGGCAGTGCGGCCGTAACCGTAAGTGCTCCGGCATGCGTCCTTCACCGGCGTCAGATCGGGGGCGTTTCGTTTCAGATAATCGGTCGATGAGTACATGAAATCGAAAATCCCCATCTCTCCACTCTCGATGTTTTTCAAAGACAGTTCCTCTCACGCTCTAAACCATCAAATGGTAAAGCAAGCAGACTGTAATAACTTTATATGCCAAAAAGAAGAAGTGTATATATATATATATATATATATACCAAAAAGTTAATATGTATTTCATTTTTTTTTCCTGAAAAATTGAGTAAACACACCCACTCGTATCTTTGATGAGAGTTAAAGGTTCAACCTTTCCTTTGAGAATTTACCATATAGGTTATTGCCCATTTGATCAAAAAGCTAAATATTAATACTCCGTATTTCCTTAGACAATTTTCCTCCGTATTTGGAAAATTGTCCTCTTAGACAATTTTCCAAGGCCTGATAATCATGCCATAAGTTCAGAAGATACAACCGGTTGTGTTGCCATGAACAAGAACTAGAGTTTGGAAAAGACAACCTAAGAGGACTACTTTTCCATACCACCTGGGCTATGGGGCATTTACAAAGCATATGAGAAATTGTCTCTTCTTCTATCCCACAGACACGACAAATCGCATCGGATACAATTTCCTTGAACTGAAGGTTCTTCAAAACTGGAAAACACTCCAAACAACACTGCCATATGAAGAACTTGATCTTTTCTTTAGTTTCGATTTTCCAAATGTCCTTCCACGCGCCATTAAATGCATGAATGGTATTATTGCTAGGATCAGTGAAAGATACTTGTGATGTTTTTAAAAAATTTAAAGCCAAAAAATAGGCACTTCGGACACTAAACTTGCCATTACCAGAAGGGCCCAGATTTTACTGTCAATTCCTTCCCATTTTCGAAGGGAAATTTTAAGAATTAAATCACTATCTCTTTTGTTAAAAATTCTTCTAATCAGATCGACCTTCCACCATTTTAAGCCACCATCAATGAGGTCAGCAAGATGAGAAAATTGATTAGCAGGAAGGTTTGAGGTAATACAAGGATTGATAAGATCTGGTAGCCATGGGTCATCTCTGCACTTAACTTTTGATCCATCCACAATACGCCATTGCCATCCCTGATTAGTCACAATTTTAGCAGCCGAGATTCCCTTCCACACCCAAGAGGCAGAGTTACTACATTTGGATTAAAGGAAAGAGTGGTCTGGGAAATATTTTTGCTTGAAAACATTGAACAATAAAGAATTGTCACCCACCTCCATTTGCTAAGCTAATTTAGTGAGAAGAGCATAGTTCAGAGCCTCCACGTTCCTGAAACTTACACCTCCACTCTCATTCCAGCCAATTAGTTCGGTGATTACACTATTAGTTTAAAAAGACTTGGAGAAAGGTCCTAGAAGTTGTGCATTTCATGAGTCATGAACCATAACAAGTTATTAAAATCACAAAAAAAAAAAAGAAATTAATAAAAGTATATTTTTCCTTTTTCTTTTAAAAGATCTTACAGTAATTAGACAACAAACCCATAGTTTAAAAAGACTTGGAGAAAGGTCCTAGAAGTTGTGCATTTCATGAGTCATGACCCATAACAAGTTATTAAAATCACCAAAAAAATAATAATAATAATTGTTGAGGTGAAATTCACGTGGTCCGATACGACACCGTTTTCCTGTAAGAAAGAGAGGAGAAGATCGATGAACCTTGACGGCACCGGTGTGGTACCTGCCAAGAGCTCTCCGACGGTCAAGTTAGTTACCGGAGATCCAAAAAGAAGGTAAGAATTTAATAATAATTTTTTCGTCGTACCTTATTCCCGAGTCGTCGTCCTATTTATCGTCGTTTCCCTTATTCTCGATAAGGGAATTTCATCATCTTATCCCATGGGACTTATCCCATGAAAATTTTATCCTTGATAAGATTTGTCATCATCCCCATGGAAATCTTATCCTGTATAAGATTTGTCATTATTCTTATCTATGGAAATCGTTACCTCTAATAATAAAATATTATCGTTGATTACCGAAAAGATCTGGCGGCTGGTCAACATTTGGTTGCCTCTATCGTTAGATCAAGATAGGTTTATTTTTCCCTATCAGTTGTCCCCCCATTCCCAAGCTTGCTCGTCTAGCTTTGGGAATGTAAGTTTTTTTTTTTGTTTTTTGCCCCCAGCACTGTTCCCTCGGGAACAGTGCCCGCGGGTACTGTTCATTGAACAATAGAATTTTTTTTTTTCCCTGTCCTGGGAACAGTACCGGCGGGTACTGCTCATATGAACAGTAGAATAATTTTTTTATTTTTATTTTTTTCCTGCCCTGGGAACAGTACACGCGGGTACTATTCCCACCAGTACTGTTCATATGAACAGTAGAATTTTTTATTTATTATTTTTTTGCCCTGGGAACAGTACCCGCGGGTACTGTTCATATGAACAGTAGAATAATAATATTTTTTTTTCCCTGCCCTGGGAACAGTAATTTCTTTTTTTTTTTCTTTTTTTTTTTGGGTATGCTTCCCTTGGGTATTGTTCCCTTGGGTTCTATTTTTGGTACCCTTGGGTACTCTGCCCTAGGTACTATTCTTGGTAGCCTTGGGTACTCTGCCCATTGGTATTTTTAGTACCCTTGGGTAATCTTTCCCTGGGGTGCTCTGCCCCTGGGTACTATTTTTAGTACCCTTGGGTACTCTATCCCTGGGTACTAGTTTTACTCAGATCGTCACTCTTTTAATAAGGGAATTGAACTTTACGAGCTTTATTCAGCTCACCTCTTTAGTAAGGGATTTTTATTTACTATCCCTTATTGTAAGGGGATATTAATTACGGGATTCATTCAGCCCGGGTCCTTGTAGTACAGGACACTCATTTATTATCCCTTATATTACGAAGAGATGAATAACGAGATTCATTCAGCCCGGGTATTTGTAATACAGGACACTCATTTACTACCCCTTACAGTACGGGGGATACGGATTACGGGATTGACTCAGCCCGGGTCCTTATAATACAGGACACTCATTTACTATCCCTTATAGTACGGGGATACGAATTACGGGATTCACTTAGCCCGAGTCCTTATAATACAGGACACTTATTTACTATCCCTTATAGTACGGGGATATGGATTATGAGATTCACTCGGCCCGGGTCCTTGTAATACAGGACACTCATTTACTATCCCTTATAGTACGGGGATACTGTACATATAAAGATAATTGACCAAGAGTCAAGGTAACTGAAAAGAATTTGATTAAAGACCATCATTGCCTCAAGGCTTATTAAAAACATGATAACACGTAAGGGAGCTACCCTCTATTTAAAATGATTAACTGATTAACTAAGATGCCCTCAGTCTTTATTGTGAATGACTTGATAAGGCTAATTCCAGCCGTGAGACAATTTCTAGTCGGTATACTCATCTGAGTCCTTCTCATGATATGTGCTATCGCTCTGGCTGAAGAACGATCTCTTATATTTGGTATTATTTTCATCCCTGGTGAGAGGGGCTGGCCTCTTTTTGTCCTCTCCTTCCTTCCGTGCACTCATGGTGTCTTTAGCGTTGATGTGTTTTTGTGCTCTGATCAGTAACTTTATCATGCTGGTGGGAGGTTCTTTTGAAAAGGAGAACAAGAATCTGGAGGTTTGGAGTCCTCCTATAAAAGTGGTGAAAGCTACCTTGTCGTCCACCTCTTCTACCTGTAACATCTCTGCGTTGAATCAGGTGATGTATTCTCAAATCGGCTCTTCCTTTTGTTGCTCCACGGTAAACAGGTAGGTAGCTGGCCTCCTGTGCCTCTGACCTGTAATGAAGTGGCTCACAAACTGCTTACTCAGTTCTTCGAAGGTGTTGATGGTTCCTGGCTTCAGCTTGTTGAACTAGACTCTTACTGATCCCTTAAGTGTAGTGGGAAAAGCTCGGTACATGATTTCGTTTGGCACAACGAGTAAATGCATAAGAGCTTGAAAAGTTATTAGGTGATCGAGGGGATCTTTGGTCCAATCAAAGCTTTCGAACGAGGGCATCCTGAACTTGCTAGGTAGTGGACATTTCATAACGGTAGGGCTGAACAGCAAGTTGGTCCTTTGTACCAGGTCATCTACGGTGGCAGGACCTTTCTTTTTCAGAGCCTGCATTACACCTTCCATTTTCCCTTTGAGATCCTCAATCTGCAAACCAAGATAGATAACTTTTTTTGTCTTTTCCTTAAAACAGAAGGCTGTGCTTTCAGGAGGTCGAAAACTCTGTGGGAGAGATGGGTGGACCACCTCTCTATGTCAGGTTCCCACCTGGCTTTGTTCCACTTCAGTCTCATTTTGAGGGGGATAATTATCTTACTCTTCAAGATTCCCATTCCCTCCGTTTGGATTTAAGAGATCTTGTCGCGGCAAGTTTTGTTGAACCGGTGGAACAAGATGTTGCAGGAGTGCTGCATTTTGCTGGATCAACTGGTCCATACCCTGACTCAAAGTTTGGACCTGCAGTTCCAACGCTGCAAGCCGTGTCTGGTCGTTTGGGATGTCCAGGTTTTCACCCTACTCTACCATTTGACCAGATCCCTGCGACGTGTTCCTTCGGTAACCATACCGGACTGCAAACGTATATACCCAACAGAGTAATTAATTGATTCAAGGGAATCGTCGTTCCCACATATGGCGCCAACTGTTGAGGGTGAAATTCACACGGTCCGATACGACACCGTTTTCTTGCACGGAAGAGAGGAGAAGATCGATGACCCTTGACGGCACCGGTGTGGTGCCTGCCAAGAGCTCTCTGACGGTCAAGTTAGTCACCAAATGTCTAAAAAGAAGGCAGGAATTTAATAATAGTTATTTCGTCGTACCTTATTCCTGAGTCGTCGTCTTATTTATCGTCGCTTCACTTATTCTCGATAAGGGAATTTCATCATCCTCATCCCATGGAAATCTTATCCTTGATAAGATTTGTCATCATCTCCATGGAAATCTTATCCTGCATAAGATTTGTCATCATTCTTATCCATGGAAATCGTTACCTCTAATAATAAAATATTATCGTTGATTACCGAAAATATCTGGCGGCTGGTCAACACTTGGTTGCCTCTATCGTTAGGTCAAGATAGGTTTATTTTACCCTATCAATAATAATAAAAGTATATTTTTCCCTTTTTCTTTTAAAAGATCTTACGGTAATAAGACAACAAACCCACA